TCTAGCTGAAGCTAGATAAAATTTTCATGTATTTCTGTGCAGCTAGCTGAAGCTAGATAAATGTACCTTTTAATCTAGATGCAGCGCCCGCTTCATGATTTTTTTTCGTGCTTGGGTAAGATAATCTAATAAATAAATAATTTTTCTTTAAAACTACATAGTAGTTGAGATAGAACGGACGCCAATTACTGTTAACATCCAAGATCCCTCGTCAAGGTTTTATACACACGCACATCACGCGTGTTCTATAACGGCAATACGAAAGAGAATAGAAAAAAAATTATCAAAAGTTTTCGTAGCTCTAATTTTATCGACGTAAGTTAAAAGTGAAAAAACGGTTTCATGTAACTTACTCTCATGATGAGAAAATCAACATCTGTACATAGAATATCGCTCAAAGAAAAAGGATTGTTTTACAAAAGAGATTAGAACGAGCTGCTGTATGGTTTAATTATAATCGATTACTTTTCTATCAGTAATATGAAAGAAAAATATGAAATATCCGATTTTCATATTCAGCTGTTTCACTAAACTGACATTATACTGACATGGGAAGTATGTATGAAGTGCACGTATTGATAAATTTTTTACCTCTTTTTCCGAAATTTTTTCGCTATCAATAATAATTGAAACTTTAGAAGCAGGATATATTATCATTTCCGAAACAATGTAATTAATAAATTGAAGATATCAATTTTGATTTCAATAAATGATATGGACGTACACGCAAACTTCAAGGCTCTTGCGTAATTCTCGCTTAGTATGTAAAGCGAAAAAGTATATTGTTGTAAATTAAGTTGGCAATTTGTAACTAATAATAAAACACATAGAAAATTTGAGAGAACAATTAATTACAATCTATTTTCTCCGTCCGTTTCACAGGTATTTTCCCGTACTATTAAGCGTAGCAGATGAACGTGGTCTCTAGCTCAATGGTGAATTATTCCACGAAGTCATCAAGTAACTGAACTTTAAATGGATTTTTGTGAGTAAGATGTTTTTGAATTGTTTTGGAATAGATCTATCTCTTACTGTAGTGGTAACGTTATTACTAAATGTGGTCACTTCTGCCCTTTCAAATGATATGTCTGAAATGGATTTTTATTTGCCTCTCAGATGAAAAATTGTATTCTCCTCAAAACCTTCTATTAACATATTGCATTATAACTACGTATGACATGGATATGAACCGTCATTGTTGTGCGCTTAATAATGCATACATAAAAACGATTGACAAATCTGAGTTACAGTCAAATACAGTTTATTTATGTATTTTGACTATATAACAGTTATTTTGACATGCTAATATTAGATTAATGTTGTTACCTTCTTCCTCCTCGATAATGCTTTCGTATGCATAACTATCTTGTTTTCTCTTCGTTTCTTTCGACCGACGAAGATTCTGTGTACAATGTGTAAGAGGCTGCTTTTTCAACCACAGCCTGCCTAAAGCTCAAGTCGTAGCAGTCTCTCAAAGATCGCACGAAAAATCTTCATCACTCAAAAAGAACGAAGAGAAAAACAGATGGTTATTAAACGAAAAAATTAGCGAGGAGAATGAATGTGATAACTTTAATCTGTCATTGGATAAATGATCAGATTTTAATTTGACTTTCGCAAAACACGTATTAATTCGTTTAGCTGGAGATTAATTTTGAAAGATTCAAGTTCTTATCGCTTTTTTTTTGTTTCTTATAAACAATAAAAAGAGTAGAATAATGTAACAACGACATGCACCTAACTCAATGGGCTATTTTCTTCGTGTGGCATTTATCGGCTTAAATACATCACTCAGGGCATCTTTTAATTTATTAGTTCTTGTTCTAAAAAAGCAAAGAAAATTAATAAAACAGACCAAACAGAGAGAAGCGCACACCGTTTTGTTGATTGTTATCGTTCAGGGTTATTTTCTTTACCACTTGTTTTATCTGACTTTCTTTTATTACTACCTTTACGACCTGTAAAACAAAAATACTATAAGGATTAGTACTCGCTTCGTAGATGTAACTCAAAGTAGTTGCTGACTTACCATCTGTTTCTGATTTTGGAGGTGCAGCTGGATGAGTTACTGGTGGTTGATCACCTTCGGTTTCTAAAAGAAAAAAAGAAAAAGATAGGGTGTGATTTTGTGAAGAACCAAAACAAAACCCTTCTGTTTCCACATGAATGTTGTGGTACTTGTTTTTATAGCGGGGAAAAAGAGGCCTTACCTTCACTATCCGAATATGCACCTTTTGTATTTGGTTTATTTTCAACTATTTCAAAAAATAATTTCCACCTGTTCCCCTACGAAAACACAAAAAAAAACAATTTTCACAATTAGGATACTTACAATAAGTCTAGTATCGATTTTACTCGATTTCGTGCAATAAAAAAAATTGTATTTCTAACTTTTAGCCAAATTGCGTTGTCAGATTGTAGTCGTTCAGTTGCTACAGCAGGTTCAATTAGTATACACTTCAACGATTTCCTGTTTTCGCGGTAATATAACCAATTCACCTACAAGAGATAAGAAAGCACACGATTAACAAGAAGAAATTTGTTTTTTCTAATACGAACATTCTGGATCGCTTCCTGACGCGGCTAGATCCATCATCAAATCAATTTTATCTCGATCATTTGTATTTCTTGGTAAATAAAACTTTTGTGTTTTATTGAAATATTTTTTCTTCGTTTCATGTGCCTGTAGACCTAAAAGGTAAGTAAAGACAGAGAGCTTTACTTCAGGAAGCCATAAATGCTTCATACCTTGTTGTATGAATGGAAGAATTTGTTTATGCAAGTTTGGAACAAGAGCTGGATATTCTCTAAATTTGTCTCTATCAGATGCAATGGCACGTTGTTCACCCAGTGTCACCATTGTATCTACAGAAACAGAAGAGCAGGAATGAGGCTTACTTCAAAGAACTTCTCCATTTACCGAAATCTTTAATTGGATTTTCATAAACAAGACTAAACTTTGCCATCGTTTCTTCTAATTCAGCAATCAAAATGGAATCTAAAAACAAAACAATAAAAGCTCACTTAGAAGTAATGGTCTTTACCGGCTCTTTCTCCAGGTCGATTTCGTACTTCAAGTAACTCAAGCACATACCTCAAGCGTTTTACATGAGTAACAAATTCATATGCATGAACTCTTGATAAAAACAGCGAAGTTAACAGATAATGCATTAAATTCATAGTAAGAGCCAGTTTGAGTTGAAGATTAAATGAATATTCGAGCCAAGGAGTTGTTATACAGGTCAGAGGTCAATAGAGAAATACTTTCTGTTTGTTCATTCCGATGGTTTAATCTCTGAAAATAAGAGAAATCAGAGAAGAAAAGAAGAACAGAGCAAAGATAGTGAAATAGAATAAAAAATGCTGGTTTCCACATCTTGCGGTTTATATCTTCGAAACTAAGAGTTGTGCAGGAAAAGGGATAGCATATGTGGAATCCTCGTGAAATCCTGAATCTATTAATCC